AAAATTATAAGAAAAATAAAAAATTAGTAAAACAATATTTTCATAGTAAAAATATTTATAAATGTTTAAAAAAAAATTTTAATTTATTACTTACCAAGCTTTTTTTTTTTCAGTATTAATGATAATATTTTTCAATATTTGCACTGTTTTAATTGCTATATCATTTGATTGCTTGATTTTTCTGTAAAAAAAAAAAAAAAAAAATTAATATTAGTAAAAGAATTGAATAATAAAAATGTAATTAATATTTTTAATAATAAAACCAACAGCATATGTACCACATACATGTAGTATACGTGTGAATAATTTTAACTCAAAAAAAAAAAAAAACTAAAAATGAAATTTTCAGGTCAGGTGTTATCTTTTTAAAAAAAATTAAAGGAACAATAATATTTTATGTTTTTCATGCATAAAAGTATTTGGGTTTTAAATCAAATGTCATTTTTTCAGATTATGGTTATTAACGTTTCTTGACAAAATGAGGTTATATGAATAAAACTAATGAAAAGTGCAAATAAAAAATTTTAATAAAGGCAAATTGCATCAACTTACGAATTACGAATTAAATTAATAAAACCCAAAACTTTATAAGAAATACTTTTGGGTAAAAATTCAAAATTATCACACATTTTTATAATTATTTTCAATTAAAAAACTAAGACAACTTGATGTAAATATAAACACTGCATTGGGCGAATGATAGGCAATAACCAATAAAAAAACAAAATGTTTCTCGACTTATCACATTACACGAAGACTAATAATCAAATATTTAGAATAAATCTATTAAACTTATTTTAAACTCATCTGAAAATAAAATTTATGAAATTATTTATTATTTTAAAAATTATAATATATAAAAGTATAGATAGAGTATATGTAGTGACAACCAGTGACAAATCCTAAGCATTTTGTAGAATGGTTAAAAAAAAACGGTTAAGTTTTACAAATTTTTTTTTTTAAATTCAATTTAAATTTATTATTTAAATTTTCTATTAAAATTTTTATATTTAATAAGAATGGCCTATTTGAAAATTATTTCATTTAAGTATAATCAATTATTTGAGTAAGGACACACAAATGTTGCCACATTGAATAACTCGATAAAAAATATTATTATTAAATTACATTCGAAGGACCTGTAATTATTTAAAAATTAACACAGAATATATGCTTGCTTGAAGTAAAAAAAAAAAAAGTATTTATATATATGAATAAGTATCATTCTTGAAGTATGATGCATATTTTACTCATTTATAAAATAAAATATTACGATAAATAAAAATTTTCAATAATTTGATGTTTTATAATAAAATAAATACATTCCAAAAAAAAAACTAATATCATGTAAAAACTTTAAATTTCATAAGGCACAAAACTTATTTTTTTTTCTGATAATAAGATAGAAAAAAATAATATTCAGTCATAATAGAATAGGAAAATTCTAAAAAAATTGTATAAAAAAAAAACAATTTAATTTTACAATAAAAAATTAACTTTCGACTAAAATTTTCATAAATTCATTTTATGTATGAATTAACAACATTAATTATCGGTCTTGAGATTTTAAATTAAAACAATTATTAAAAACAACAATTATATTTCTAATTGCACTTATAAAATGTAACAAATAATATAAATATTATTTACTTACAAAACAAAAAACTAAAAAAAAAATTAAAAAAAAAAAACTTTTGTCAAATGCAAATGCATTTAATAAAATAATTATATATTTATTTATTTTGAGCGTTGATTTATTAATAAAATTTAAATTACTAAACAATAATTCGTAACCTACCCACACACACACACAATCTTATAAA